ACAAAACTTGGTTCCAATAAATTAACCAAACATGGAGATATCTATGTAAACATCTTCACAGCTAACAAGCTTCGTTTGGAAGGAAGAGGAATCCATTTTGCTTGATCAGACCTTAAAAAAAAAAACAAACCTTCTTGAGTTACTGTGTTTTCACTTTGTTTTTTGCACTGCCTTGGTGATTACATTTAAGAGTAAAAAAATGTCAATACACATAAAAACTTGCATACTGCGTCATAATGTAATAATGTAGAGTCCACCAAATAGAACCTCAGCATAAGATGGTGGGGGGCACAGGAATCTGACACTCCCAGTATTGGACATTGAAGAGTGTGCCAAAAGTCATAGCTTTCAGTAGAGAGATAGTGTTCATGAGTGGATGGAGAGAGCCGTATAAACATTATTCTCTTGCAGGGTGTCTACCAAAACTCAATGCTGCAACTAGGTTATCCAGTAGAGTTAATGTTTTTATAAAAACATAAATGTTTCATACAAATTTTGAATGTGAAATTGAAATGATTAGCTTTGATTTATTAACCTAGTTGTATGTATGTTTGATTTTTTATATTACTTGAGTAATGTTAAAGCCAAAAATTACTCAAAGAACATATGTTTTCCAGTGTCTGAAAACTCATCCTATCCTTTAATCCAATTGCATTTTAATACATACTTTATATTTAACTAGGTATTGAAATCTTTTTTACAAGTATGTTGTTAACTATAGTAGTATTGAATGGAATGAGTATTCCACTATTAATAAAATATTTAAATAACAGAATGTTTAGGCAGACAGTATAGGAAGAGCCCCAGTGTAATGGACGTATATACTATCTTTTTTTTTGTAAATCTTGTTACTGTATAATTTTTAATTTTATATTTACATACGGCCAGACATATTTGCTCATTACATATGCAGCCTTTTCTACCTGCATTGCAGTGCCACACAGTGGTTGTGTATTGATGCTTCTTCTCACAACATAAATGTATGGTTCGGTTCAATAATTTAAAACATTGCATCCACTATGTGGCTGATATCTTAACTCAAAATTTGTTCAAGTCCAGCTTCAGACTTCAGGGCCCCCACCTACCAAGTGCTCTTCCTCCTCTTGAAGGCCCCTAAGGCATCATTTTTTGCTTTTTCTCTAGAAAAAGAAATGTCTTCAGGTTGGACAGGTAATGCCACAGGGTCCTTTTCCTCCTCGTTTCTTCTCTGACCTGGATGGTCCTCAATAAAGCAGAGAGTGGTGTTGACATAATACCCATCATTATCCTGTGTACAGAGTGTCATGGTAACACCCAACTCAGGGGATGGGTCCATGATGTTCTGCACTCCTTTAGACTCCCAGATTGAATGGCACTTGATGTCAACCTTGAAGACTGTAGGCATCTTCTAGTTAAAGGATAAGTTCCTTTGGAACATATTATATGTTCTACCCATTTTTAGGGTAGAACATGTAACATGTACCCATAGCTGCAGTTGCACCCGCTGTCAGCCCCCCCCCCCCCCCCCCAGACAGATAGTACAGGGAGAAGTTTTCCCATACTATCAGATTTGAAAACAGCGTGGCTGTATGGTGGCTCCGCCAATATGGCCGTGTCACTCATTCACAGTGTTCTCTGAGTGAGTGAGTGCCAACAAGTCCCGACAGTCTTAGCATCTGTGGGCTTGTAGTTTTCAATGAACTACCACAGAACTGTGGACATCCCTGTACGGCAAACAGATATTCTGACAGGTCTACAGGAGACCTGCATGGCATCAGCAATCTACTGATCGCTGGTTCAGTGCTTCACAGGTTCCTTTGGACAAAAATAATAAATACACCTTTTTTTCACCTGAAAAAAAATGTGCATTTATTTTTTTTTGTCCAAAAGGTGAACTTATCCTTTAACCACTTGAGCTCCAGAGGATTTACCCACCTTAATGACCAGGCTTCTTTTTGCTACTCGGCGCTGCACTAATTGAACTGATAATTGCGCAGTCATGCAATGCTGCACCCAAACGAAAAATTTACGTCCTTTTTTTCACACAAATAGAGCTTTCTTTCGGTGGTATTTGATCACCTGTGCGCTTTTTATTTTTCATGCTATAAACAAAAAAAGGCCAAAAATTTTGAAGAAAAACAATATTTTTTACTTTCAGCTATAAAAAATATTTAGTAAACTCAAAGTTGGTTATAAATTTAGGCCAAAATGTATTCTTCTACATGTTTTTGGTAAAAAAAAATCCCAATAAGTGTATATTGATTGCTTTGTATGAAAGTTATAGCGTCTACAAACTATGGTATAAATACTGCAATTTACGCCATTTTTCTGCTATACAGCGCTGCGCTAGTTTAACGGACAATTGCGCGGTCATGCAATACGGTACATAAATTAAATTTACATCCTTTTTTCCCCCACAAATTGAGCTTTCTTTCGGTGGTATTTGATCGCCTGTGCGGTTTTTATTTGTTGCGCTATAAAAAAAAAGGCTGACAATTTTGAGGAAAAAGAAAATAATATTTTGGACTTTTTGCTATAAAACATGTCCAGTAAAAAAAAAATGCAAAAATCAAATTTAGTCATAAATTTCTGCCAAAATGCATTCTGCGACATGTCTTTGCTAAAAAAAAAAACCAAAACGTGTAAATTAATTGGTTTACGTGAAAGTTATAGCGTTTACAAATGGCGGGAAAGATACTGGGATTTTTAATTTTTATTTATACTAATAATGGCGCCGATCAGCGACATATAGCGGCAATCAGCGACATATGACGGCGACCAGCGACTTATGGCGGGACTGCGGGACTGAGGCGGACATTTTGACACTGGGGGGGAGCTGACTTGGGGTCACTGACATCCCCAGTGACACCAATACAGTGATCAGTGAAAAAAAACCCACTGAAACTGTACTAATGTCACTGGGGAGGAAGGGGTTAACATTTTTAGTGTTCACTGTGTGAGGGGAGTGTTTTACTAAGGGGCGGGGGTGTGTACTGAACGGGGGGAGGGAGGGGGGAGCTGATCGAGGGAGAGAAACTGTATTCTCCCTCTGCAGCTTGGCGACGAACTGTCACAGAGCAGGCTGTGTGTAAACAATGCAGCCCTGCTCTGTTTCAGTGTTCACCGCTCATCGCGGGAAAACGGCCGGTAAAAACCGGCCGTGACCCGGCGGCGGGGACCCGCTGCTGACACCCGCGGGACAGGTAGGGCGGGCGCGTGCCTCGCGCGCGCCCCCTGCCTGTTTTGTAGGCACACGTTTTAAAACGTGCTTTTGCCTACGAGCGCCGCCCTGCCACCGTTTATATGCGGTGGCTGGGCGGCATGTGGTTAAAAAAATACTACATTGGATGACAGTGTATTTTGTTTTTTTGTTTTAAATTAATATTGTTTTCACCATTTTTTTCTTTTGTTGTAATTAGAACTGCTGATCTCCCACAGTCTTTTGCAGCTACATTCTGTTTACATGAACTTGCTCCAGTGGCAGGGCAATTCTCATGACAGGTTTTCTGATGGTGCTTGTGTAATGTATGTTGTCATGGCTGCTTGAAGACTCCACTGGAATAACTTGTCACATTGTGACAATGCAGGAGAACAACTGTGAGAAAGAGACGGGTATAGTCACACTAGGTATTTTTGATTATAGTTGTAGATTTTGAAATATATAAAACTATTTTGGAATATTGCATTAGCTTGTAAAAGCTTGGAAGAGGACTTAATGCTTGGGTTACATATACCTTAAAGTAGAATTAAATTTAAACATTAAAAAAATGTCAGTCCCTATTGATTTCTCCTCTCACATCTGCCTTTCTCTGCCTTGTCAGCATTTGTAAATACTGAGCCACACACGCACAGTTCAGTGTGCATCCACACATGTACAGGAGTGATGTCATCCTGAATCAGCCAATCAAGCAGGCAAAGAGTCTGAGTCCAGGAGGAAGACTAAGAGAAACGCTGACATTTCAGTGCTGGAGGGGATCGTTTCCAAGATAAATCTGCCATAACATATGCTGTGCATACTAGTGCATTATGGATGAAAACTCCTGGGGGCCCATTTTTTAGGATTCTGCTTTAAGTAAGAGAATAGAATAATTGCCCTAAACCAGTGAAAGTGTCCCCTAGTGGTTATTCTGAAAATCTCTATAGATATTTATGGTTTGTGGTAAGCCACTTAGTTCATTTTACCCTTTTCATGGCCAATGTACATGTATCCACTTGCTGTTCTGCTCCGGTTATATTGGATCCTTCAATTCAGTTCAATAGAGGGGACAGAGGTAGCACTGAATCCAATTAAAGCTTACTCCGGCTCACCTAAAAAATTGCAAGGTATAGGTGTGAGACATGAAAAGAAACATTTTTAAAATAAAGTATTTATGTTGCATTTTAGTGGATTATCTCTTCAAAAGCTTGGGTCAAATAAAGAAGTGAAGCGAAAAAAAAAAATCTGATTTGTGAAATTAGAAAAGCATTGAAAGCATCTTCTGTGTATAATGTCAATGTTATTTTGTTCAGCAGCCCAGTAGTAGTTGATCCAGAGCTCTAGCAGCCAATTTGCTAAGTAGCTATGAATTGGTGAGTAGAGTTTGGAATAAAATATGAACATTATTTCTACACTAATAACATATGCATGTCTATAATTAACCACTTTCCTACTGGGCACTTTCACCCCCTTCCTGCCCAGGCAAATTTTCTGCTTTCAGCGCTATCACATTTTGAATGATAATCAAAATGTGCAACATTGTACCCATAGGACATTTTTATAATTTTTTTTACACACAGATATTTATTGTGGTATTATTTAATCACCACTGGGTTTTTAATTTTTTTGCACTATAAATTAATTACATTTTTATATTTTTTTTAGGCAGATAGAGCTTTCTTTAGGTGGTATTTAATCACCACAGTTTTTTTTGCTAAACAAACCAAGAAACACCAAAAATTGTAAAAAAAAAATCTTTTTCTTATTTTCTGTTTGTAAATAAGTACATTTCTTTTTCACTGATGTGCGCTGAGGAGGTGCATTGATGGGCACTGATGAGGCTGCGCTGATGGGCACTGATAGGCTGCATTGATGGGCACTGATGGGTACCGATAAGGCTGCACTGATAAGGCGTCACTGGTGGGCACTGATGAGTTGGTCCTGATGAGTTGGCACTGTTAAGCTGCACTGATGAAGAGCACTGATGAGGCTACACTGATAAGGTGGCACTGATGGACACTGATATGTGCCACCAGGGGCGGACTGACCATTTGGAAACTCGGGCACTGCCCGAGGGCCTGGGTTCAGTAGGGGGCCCCATGAGATGCCCCTGGTACCTTTTTTATAGGCTTTTTTGAGTTTGGGCAAGGACACAGGGGCCCCATGATCCCCTATTGCTCGGGGGCCCCATGAGTTGTCAGTCCACCTCTGGGTGCCACTGATTGGCACTGATAGACACTGATTGGCACTTATGGGGCTGCACTGATAATTAGGTCACTGATCACTGTAAATGTCTCCTGTCACTGAAAAGACTGTTATTGGTTTTTCTTTCCTCAGACAGTGACAGTGCTGAGGAAAATAAATACTGATAACAGGCATTTGTTTGCATGTGATCAGCTGACACATATCCCCACTGATCACTGCACTGCACACTCCTCTGGTGCGCATGAGCAACGTGACTGAGAGGACATCACATGATGTCAACCCAGAAGGACGAAAGGCCCGCCCAGCCTATAGCAGATTAAAAGCTGGATAAGCCTTTCATTCCTACAACGCATTCACCGATGAGGGTAAATGATTTCGACTCTTTACCATGTGATCAGCTGTGTCCAATCACAGCTGATCACGTGTAAACAAATGCTGGTTATCAGCATTTTCTTTCCTCAGCACTGTCACTGTCTGAGGAAAGAAAATTCACTTGTTATTGGGGTTCATTTACTAAAGGCAAATAGAATATTTGCTATGCAAGTTGTTGTTTTATTTTTATTTTTCCTGCCCATCATGTGTATTCTTTGCAAAGTGAAATTCCACCTCATTCACTAAGCTATAGGAACACTTCTCTTGCTCAGTGCAACTTCTCTTGTAAAGATAACATTCATGTGCTTTTAGTAAATCAACCTCGCTATGTCAGTTAGTGGGTACTAGTTCAACATGGCAGGATAGCTATAATATGCAGTACTTATTCTCAGTCAACAGCATATAATGTATGGCCATATTTAGTGGTTTTACAGAGGCACCTGAGGAATTAAAGGGCAGATTATTAGAGGCAGCAAGAAAACATTGGGTCTAAGGGAAAACTCAGTTCCAACACTGTGGGGAGAGATTTACTAAAACTGGACAATCTGGTGCAGTTGTGTATGGTAGCCAATCAGTTTCTAACTTCAGCTTCAATAAAGCTTTGACAATACAATCTGGACCTGCACCAGATTTTTCACACTTCAGTTTTAGTAAATCTCCCCCATTGCATTGATAAGCTTACACACTGATGTTACTATCAAAAGCCTGCAAGAATATACACTATATTGCCAAAAGTATTGGGGCACCCCTCCAAATCATTGGATTTGGGTGTTCCAATCACCTCCATTGCCACAGGTGTATAAAATTAAGCACCTGGGGATAAAGACTGCTTCTACAAACATTTGTGAAAGAATGGGTCACTCTCGCGAGCTCAGTGAATTCAAGCATGGTGTCATGATAGGTTGCCCCCAGTGCAAGTCCGTCCATGACATTTCCTTGTTACTAAATATTCAACAGTCAACTGTTAGTAGTATTATAACAAAGTGGAAGCAACTGGGAACAACAGCAACTCAGCCATGAAGTGGTAGGTCATGTAAAGTGACAGAGCGGGGTCAGCACATGCTGAAGTGCACAGTGCACAGAAGTTGCCAACTGTCTGCTGAGTCAATAGCTAAAGACCTCCAAACTGCATGTAGCCTTCAGATGAGCACAACAGTGCATAGAGAGCTTCATGGAATGTAGTTTCATTGGTATATATATTGTAACACTAAGATCATTGAGAAGTAACCTGAATAACAATGAGTATCTTGTTACATCAGCACCTGAAATTTGGATATTTTAGACAGCAAGTAAGTATGTTGTCCATGATGTTAATGTGTTGAATGCATAAAAAAAAAAAAAAAGGCATTGCAGTTTTTTGTGTATGTAGCTGAGAAACTGCAGACTGGTCAGGATGCCCATACTGATCTGGGCTCACAGCCAAAAGCACTTACAATGAGCACATGAGCATCCAAACTGGAACACAGAGCGATGGAAGAAAGTGGCCTGCACTGATTAATCAAATTTTCTTTTGCATCATATGGATGTGTGAGTGCATTGCTTACTTTGGCTAGGGATTGCAACAGGATGCAGTATGGGAAGCAGGAAAGCCAGTAGAGGCAGTGTGATGCTTTGTGCAATTATCTGCTGGGAAACCTTGGTCCTGCCATTCATGTGGATTTTACTTGACACATAACACCTACCTAAACATTGTTGCTGACCAAGTATATCCCTTCAAGAAAATAATATTCCTTGATGGCAGTGACCTCTTTCAGCAGAATAATGTGCCCAGCCACACTGCAAAAATGGTTTATGGAACATACCAACACAACGTCTCCAGATCTCAATCCATCAAGTATATGTGGGATGTGCTAGAAAAACAAGTCCAACCCATGAAGGCCCCACATCGCAACTTACAGAACTTAAAGTATCTGCTACTGATTGTTTGGTGCCAGATACCTGAGCATATCTTAAGAGATCTAGTGGCATCCAAGCTGCGATGAATGAACTTTTAGATAGGGCAAATTTGTTTTTTGTTGTAGGCTGCCTGGTAAATGTGCTGGGAAATTTTCTGTTGTTTGTAATGAACAATAAAAACCTGGCAGTGATTCTAACCCCTCACCCCTATATCCAAATCTAAGAAAAGTGTTTTGTCATTAGTTATACATTAAAGTAAAGCTAAACCCTTCTGGGTGACATTTACAGTGCTGTGCATCATAACCAATTTTCGTTCTTTTTACTCATAAAATTATGTTTTTTTTATCCTTTCTTTTATTTCAGTTTTATTTATTCCTCCAATCCCTTTCAGCTACTTACTGTCCACAGGCACTTGCACTAATGTTATTCACACATCTGGGGTTATTTACTAAAACCAGAGAGTGCAAAATATGGTGCAAGTCTGCATAGGAGCCAATCAGCTTCCAGGTTTTATTGCCAAACAATTGAACAAGCTGGAGTTGGAATCTGATGGTTACTATCCACAGCTGCACCAGATTCTGAGTGCATCAGTTTTAGTAAATCTACCTCTATTTTGCTCTGAACTAGTTTTCTGTTTGCACAGCCAGTTGTAGTCATCAAGGGTGCATAATAACTGGGAGACCATTGTCATTCCAAACCAGGAAGTCCCTGAATTAGGACCTTCATTGTAGGGTCAGCAGGTATTATTTTAATAAAAGCTGCAGATTTAATAAGATTGAAAATTACTCTTGAAATTACATTAATGCATTAAAGCTTATATGAAATGTTAGTGATTTTGTTGAGATCTACTTTCAAATACAATGGGGCATTCCAACAAAAGATATAATAAGTCATATCAACAAATGCAAAGTAACACACACACATACACACACACTGTGCTACTGTACTGTTGTTAATATGGCTTAAGATACCTTTTGATGAAATGTCTTTTTTCTTTAAGCTTTTAAGGTGATCTTAGCAAAATCACCAAACTATAAAAAGAAATCAATGGAACAGCAAAGGTTCCCATCACCCTTACAAAAATCCATAACTTTTGCATTTTAATAGAGAGGCTGAACCAGTCATTTTCTTTGTGATGTACAGCTTTGATTTTCTCCTTATCTCTCAGGGAATTTTGACTTTCTGAGAAAGGGATTATTGAGTTGTATGGCTGTAAGAGAGGCTCCTTGATCACTACAGTACTGTGTGCTTAAAATGTTACAGTCAGCTCAGCTGCTCCTTGCTTGTAAAAGCATTAGGGACGCCATGTTAATATTAATTAGGTCTTTTCTGTACAGGAATTTCAGTCGCTGCCATGAAGACAGCTTGTAGAGAGAAGATTATACCCAAAGTCAGACATTAAGACAAACATATTTAGAACAACAATTATGATAATTGCAAAAAACACTAACGCAGAAGAAATAAGTAAATCTGATTAGGAGCACTTCTGCATGATCAAATATAAATCTTATGTCTTCCCTCTAACCTGGTTTAAACATAAGAGGATTATATTATGTATTAACAGATTTGTGAAGCTGAACTTATTGTACCTAATAATATAGAGCATCTGAGGGAGTGCTGTGAAAGGAACGTACTAGAAAAGTAATCCACTTAAAATTAAAAATAGACAGAATCATTTGGAAGGTGTACGAGACGTATGTGAAAAGGTTACGTAGGCTACAGGGCCGATGCAGCTTGTTATTTGACTGTGTGAAAACTACTCTGCGGTTTCCTTTTTACCCATTAAATTTGCAGCCTGGAAAAAAATATTACCTTTTCAGTTGTTTACATAAGTATCATCCCTATTACTAGTTGAACTTATAAATATTGTCATATTAGATTTCAGATATACTTTAGGCAGAAAAAAAGTCTAAGTATGTTGTTTAAAGTGTATTTATTAATAGAAATAACTGAAAGAAATTTGAAGCAGTAACATGTAATAATGTCAATTAACTGTAGGTGCTATTGATCAGAGCTCTTGTATTATACTACTTGTCCTTTGACCACAGTGGTAATGATTTTTAATGAAAGCACATATTGACTGAGTGTTATTATAGCGTATGCTTAAAAACATACTTATTATTGCACTTTTTTTGTTAAACAAACATTTTATTATTATTATTAATTTCTAGAATCGTATTCTTTCATTTGACACCATATTCTAAAAATGAGCATGCTTGTGTTCATTTGGTTATCAAGAATGTGTAAAATTTAAAAAATGTAAAAAAAATCAGCAACAGAAGCTGTGTACAGTATTCTTTCTATCAATGTGTCCATCTGTCCATCCATTCATCCACTTGTCTCTAAACACCTCCCTCTCTTTCTTTTTCTGTCTATATATTTTATATGTCTGCCTGTATCAGCCCAGGTCTATGTCTACATCTTT